TATATATATATATATATATATATATATATATATATATATATATGGGGGAGGGGGGTTGTTGTAGCTGCCTCAGGTGTGCTCATCACACTATATTGTGTCAGTACATTCATTCAACCTTTATTTATACAGGTAAATCCCATTGAGCCTCGAGGACTCATTTACAAGAGAGACCTGATTTCAACAAAGAAGGATGACAACAATGGACAACAGCGACAACAATAAACGGCTATAAAAAGTCATACAATTATTATTTTATTTTTTTCAACAAATAGGATAGCTAAAAAAAAGAAAAGTAACAAAAAACCAGCTAGATTCTAAGGTGAATGTAGAAAACTAAAAACAGGAACATGTCTGCATTGGTCCCTGCCAGGAGTCCAACAGATTCTTAAAGCCACTTAGAGAGGTCAAGGTCGAGAGCTTCAGATCTTTTTGTAAGATATTCCAGAAAACAGGAGCGGAGTAGCAGAAGGCCCTTTTGCCTAGTTCAGTCCTCGCTGAGGGAATACTGCAGGTAATAATGTCCTGAGAGCGCACGCCGTAGCTGCACTCACGCAGAGACATGTAGGAGGAGATGTATGAAGGCAGCAGACCAAGAAGTGATTTAAGGATGAAAATGTACCAGTGAGAGAGTCTGCGTGAAGTTATTGATGTCCAGTTAACCAGTGAATACAGGGTGCAGTGGTGGGTACGATAATCACAGCCAGTTATGAATCTTAGTGCACCATGATAGACAGCATCCAACATCTGCAGGGTTCTTGTAGGAGCGTTCATGTAAATAATGTCACCGTAATCAATGGAGGGAAGGAAAGTCACAGGTACAAAGTGTTTCCTAGCATTCAGAGTTAGACAGGATCTGTTTCTGAAAAAGAAACCCAGTTTAACTTTCAGTTTCTTTACCAAGTTTTCCACGTGGAGCTTAAAAGAGAAATGTGAATCGACCAAGATACCCAAATATTTGTAGGAATCAACAAACTCAATGGGGACACCATTTGAGGATGATATCAGATGAAGAACTGCTGGGTCCAACTTCCTATTTGAAAAAAGCATCCTTTGGTTTTGTCGGCATTTAGAACAAGTTTGAGGTGGAACAAATCAGTCTGGATGATGCTGAATGCAGGTTGCAAAAGCTGGAAAGCCTTATCAACTAACCTAGTACAACTAAACTCATAGGGCTGAGATTTAGCTCATTATCATTGTGAGAGTGAGTGCATTCAGAGTGTGTTTGCTTGTGTGTGTGTGTGGGGGGGGTGGGGGTGGGGGTGGGGGGTAATTATTGTGAGTATTTGCAAACAAAGCAGTCATGTATCCCCCAGTGCAGTGGGTGTCCTAGATAAAGCGATAAAGCAGCATGATTTCATAATGTATTTTTGCAATGTCACCACTATGCAGCACATTGTGTGTGTGTTAAATATTTGAACTGCAATTGATATACTTTTTAAATTTATTTTGTTTATTTCCTTCCTCCGTTAACATTAGAGTAACCCTTCACTTTCATTGTATTCATCTACACACTCAAGAATGTAAAAGTGCTTTTGTGTCAGTTTATGTTTTTGCGTTATCAGAGAAACTGTTATTTTTAGGGATGCACAATTTTGGATGTTTGGCTGATATCAGATATGCCAATATGCCAAAATTCCGAGATGATCAAACTTGTTTGGCCCATAACCAATACCAATATTTTTTCCGAGACCTACTTACAGAGACTACACAGCTTTCTCTGCTGTGGAATTGAAATACTACATTATTCTGCATGATCTTTGTCAATTTGGCCTTTTACCAAATGCAGATGCCAAAAAGGGGGCTGAAAATGATGTAACACTTCAACTTGGATTATGTTTATTGTCAAATTTATTCATGACATTTACTCTCTCTAACACAATGACAACACTTGAACAGTGAAAATTTGTAAATTTTCACAAATCTAAACTCAATGACGCCCGTGACATCATAACGTTGTGCTGGCGCTGCAGACATCCTTGTCAATGGGTTGTCATACAAAAACAGCACATTTCATATATATAATATATATATATATATATATATGAACAGTGCCTTCTGTATTGGTGAGTTTGATGGAATGGCCGATGTCCGATATTTAACTTTATCGCTAAAATCGTCCGATACTGATGTCATGCCGATAATATCCTGCATCCCTAGTGCAGCAGTGTGTTGCTTGACTTATCTGTTTTTAGGCTTAACTTTCAGAAGTTGACTAAAGGAATAGGTTGGCTGTGGGGTGTGTGACAAATTTCAGTGTCCTCAGTCGTCCTTAATGTGATGTGAACCACTGCAGAAATCAGAGAGATTTTTTTTCGCAAATCAGGTACATTTATAAATAAGTTGTGCATACTGTATGTAGGCCTGCATAGTTATTTTTTTTTTTTAATGTTTAAAGGTGTATTTTCCTTGATGACATTAGTTTCTTTAGAGACACAAGCTTTATTGGTGAAATTCCACCTTCACATGTATAATTTAAAGTTTTAAATGATTGAGATCTCCTTGTGTTTTAGTCTTTCAATGTTAAATTATTCCCAGTGAGTGTGCTAGATGGCTTTTGGTCTGATAAGAATGAAAAAACTCGATGAAATAATGGATGACATTTGGAGGTCTCACAGTCTGATTTGTAAACATGAGGGTCATGGTTGCAGGGATCTGATTGAAGCAGCAATGCCCTCTTGTACATTTTAATCATCATAGTGGCTCTCGAAGCAAGAGGGACATACATTTATTGTTCGGTTCAAACCCTTTGTTGAAATTATTCACAAAGACGCATGCACAGAAAGCATTTGATCCCTCAAAACTCTAATGAATGATGAATTGATTTGTTGAGATAAAACATTTGCTGTGGCTTTATGTTTGATAAGTATAATTATATTTTTGTTCTGTTTATTTTGACTGACTTCAAAGTCTTTTTTTTTAGCATTATATGATTTCTAAAGCTTATGCATATTATTAAATGCTGCATTATGCAAAGAGTATCCCTGGAAACCTTTTTTTTTTTTTAACACATTTGCTTTGTTGTTTCTTTTTATCTTAGTGGGGCGGTTGCTGATTGAGTTCAGTTCCCAGATGACGATGGAGCGAGTGCAGAAAGAAAACCCCAACGTTACAGAGGGAGGCCGATACACCCCCCCGGACTGCCGGCCAAGGTGGAAGGTCTGTGAACACATCTCTGTATATTTTATGCAAACACCTGTTTACTAAAGACTATTTCTGAACACCAAAAATAAAATGATAAATCATGGATAGTAACAATAAATGTCCTGGAGAAAGTTAAAACTTGGTCAAAGCTGAGTTTATGCATTTTTATACTCTATTAATCCGGGGTCATAAGGAGGTTGAAGCCAATCTCTGCTGTTATTGTGCAAGGAATACTGTTTTTGCTAAAAGGCAAGGCAGATAACAATGTTTATGCCTGTTTACGTGTGTTTGTGGGCATGTGTGTGTGTGCATACGTGTGCAAATTTGTTTCTGTGTTTGTTTGTTACCAAAATAACTGTTAACCCTATTGAAAGTAACCACTTTGAAAATGGCTGCCACAGCCAGCGGATAAAAAAAAAAGCAAACAAAAATGTATAAAATTCAGTCAGTTTTTCAGATATTGGGCTAAACTTTGATGTGGTAGTAGCTGACATTAATAAGGAGGTGTTCTTGGAGGTCTTCCAGACTGTCTTTAAAACTCAGCATAACACAGTCTGCTCTACTGAGTCAGAGTCAGAGTTTCTTTATTGTCATTCGCACCTCATGTGGTACATGTGGTGGAGCGAAATTATGTACACAGGGTCCCAGTTACATCCAACAATAAATTGTAAAAGAAAAACAATGATAACATCTAATATATGAACTAAGAAAAACATCAACTAAATATACACTAGCACTAAGCATAAAAACATTACGTCGAACATCAGCACAAACATGAACATGAGTCTGTGTGAGCAGTAGGAATGTGCGATATGGCGTAAAATTCATATCACGATATGCATTGTGAAGGGTGGCAATAACGATATATATTGCGATATGTTTTTGGTATAAAACTTGCTAAAAAAAAAGCATAGGGTGTCCTTTTGCCATCATATATTTTGAATTAAGAAAATTTCACTACTAGGTCCAGAGAGTTTTTAAATAATAAACAAGCTTCTTTCTTGTGCAAAACAGTGCAAAAGATATCAAATGTAGTTTTAGCCTTATGTTTTAAACAAAAAAAAAATGTTGTTAACTCAACAGTTTCCAGTCTTCTCACTTTATAAATGAACAGCAACAGAGCAGCATTTTACACTGAAACACTTCACCCTCCAACCATCTAGTTGGCGCCTCCTTCCGCTTTAATGGAGAGCTGACAGAAAATGAGTCTGTGGCTTTGACCAGAGGGTCTCGCAGTAAAATCACACAACACAGCGTTCTTTTACAGATCAGAGAGCAGGTTTCTCTAAAGCTGACCAACGCTTACTTTAACTTTCGATGGAACACAGCGTTTTGCGCATGCGTCAGAATACGGCAACACTACGGCAAGCCGGCTGTAGTTAGCTTGTAGCTTTGCTACTTAGCTCTCAAAGAAAAGACTAACGCCACTTTTGCACATTTTTCAACAAACAAAAGTAACGATTAAACTGACAACTCTGATTTTACTTCATACACAGCATTACTGTGGTTAGCCGGTAGAAGACAGATCTCTATCGTAGACTAAATTTCTATCGTTTCTACTGTATACCGTTTATATCGCGCATACCTAGTGAGCAGATGAGCACGCATGAACACATCAACATTGAAACAGATCAGCAGCAACATTGAAACAGATCAGCAGCAACATGATGTGATTTTTTTTCACAGTGATTATTCTGGTTAGAGATTCATGAGTCTAACAGCCTCAGGGTAGAAGCTGTTCCTCAGTCTAATGCTCCTACACTTAATGCTCCTCAACCTCCTTCCTGAGGGGAGCGGGGCAAAAAGTGTATGTGCTGGGTGAGTGGGGTCCTTCATGATGCAGGTGGCTCTCTTCCTGCATCTGGAGGTGTAGATGTCTGTGATGGTGGGGAGACTGACTCCAACAGTCTTCCGTGCAGTCTTCACCACTCTCTGCAAAGCTTTTCTTTCGGCAGCTGTGCAGCCTCCACGCCACAATTGAGGTTTTTTCATTAAATATTTACAGCTGTAGAGTCTATAGAACTTGTCTTATTGGACCTTACATCTGCCTTTGATACCATAGACCATGAGCTCCTCATTTCTAATCTTGAGTAGTGGGTGGGTATTTTAGGATCGATGCTCAAATGTTATAGGTTCTACCTCTACGATAGAAGCTTTTGTGTCAACATCAAGTGGTATTTCCACGTTTGTGAGGGATACCACTAGGTTTCATTCTTGGACCACTTTTTTATTTCTTAAAACCTATTGAAACTAGGTGCAAAATTTCACAAATGTGCATCCTTTTTATTTTTATGCAGATGATACGTAGTTAAATATACTTCCCTCTGAAGCAAACTAGTACACCTAGTGCATATGTGTCAAACTCAAGGCCCAGGGGGCAAATGTGGCCCTCGTTGACATCTTATCTGGCCCCAACATGTTATTTTAAATGTAAAATACTTTTATCACTTTAATTTTTTTCAGTAATCTTTGATTATGATGTCAAAAGTCCAACAGACAATGTCAAATGAGACCAATCAAACTCTTGTTGAGGAACCTGCAACAAAGACAAGATGTTGGGCATCTAACTTGAGTTAATGTAGTTTCTGAAACCGACCCTTAGTTTGAAAAAGGTTTTAATTTCGGCCCTCTTTTGTAAGTGAGTTTGACACCCTTTATCTAGCAGCACCAGCATGAACCCCTTTATTGACCTTTCCTCACTTTCCCCTTATGAGAAAAATATTATTAAAAACATTGTATAAAAAGGAATCTCTAGAACTAAACAGTCATGAAAAGACAATTGTCAAATCCGCTTTTTTCTGTTGAGGTGAAAATCTAAAATTAAGCTATATGATCTAAAACACTTCTTGTGACATGCTGGTGAAGATTCTCAATTCTTGTGACAGTAATACATGCTTTTATAACATAAAGGCTTGATTATTGCAATGCACTTCTTTATGAAATTAGGCAGGCTTCTGTTGCTTGTTGGCAACTGGTATAAAATGCTGCAGCTTGATATTTAACCGGTACAGGCAAAAGAGAACACATTTCCCTAGTTTTGGCTTCCCTCCACTGGTTTCCAGTTCACTTCTGGATTCATTTTAAAATTATTTTGTATCTTTTTCAGTCTCTTAACTGTTCTGCCCCCTTTTATTGCTCTAAACTGCTGCAGCTATACTGTATGTACTACAGCACTTTCTGAGGTCAGCAGATCAGCTGCTTTAATGGTTCTAAGGATGTGGTGCAACCTCAGAGGTGATAGAGCTTTTTCTGTTGCAGGTCCAAAAATGTGGAATAGTTTACCAACGCATGTTAGGCAAGCTCCCTCACTTACTGTGTTTATGTTTCATTTAAAATCATACTTTTATTCCCTGGCCTTTGACCCAGTGTGAGATGATTTTAACTTTATTGTTATTTTATTTATTTATCTAATTATTCTAATTGATTATTCTTTTTACTTCCATAGATTTATGTATTCCTGTGCCCTCTGCTTGTTTATATTTACTTACTGTGCAATTAAGGCTTTTTTATGTACTAACTTTATTTAGACTGATGTGAACATAGAGAACAAAATGTAGTTGAAAAACATTAAGAATTAAAAACCTGATTGAACCACTTGGTTGATGCAGTTTAAAGGCTGCATTTTGAATGCTCATACAAACATGCAGCGTATAAAAAGTTTGAAATTCATGCTCTGTCACGAAAAATTTTTACTATCTGTACACATGAAATCACACTTTACATGTAGTTATGGAAACACAGTGTGGTCTGGTGGAAGACGAACGTGTTCTGCTGCGTTTGGAACTGAAAGCCTTAAAACGCTGTCAGATACCACTGGGATCAGATGATCCAGCACTCATAATATCAGATTTTTTTTATTTTTATTTTTTGGCTGCTCCCTTCATCACAGCGAGTTAACTTGTATGAAGATTTGGCAATTGTTTTTATGCCAGATGCCCTTCCTTATGCAACCACAGATAATAATACTCATACTATCAGAACCATATGTCCAAATACTGGTACTTCTATTCAATAATGACTTGTACAAAAAAGTATTACTATTTTAAATTTTTTAAAGTTTTTACCACTACGATCTGTCTTACCAGCGTTGATGTGCAGAGGGATTTGAATAGTGAATGTATGCAAGTTTTGAGACAAGTATTTTTCTTGACTAGCATTGGACAGGGAATGCAAATAAACATTAATGCTTTTGATGTAAGATAAAGTGTGTAGGAGTTGCACTGTGTTATACTTTTTACACATAAGAAGAGGTAGGTATTTTTTTGTTTGTTCATGTCCAAGGTGGTGCAGGGTGACAGGTCCTGGTGAGCGGAGTGAGCAATTTTGTCCACCAACAGATGCAATGACAGAGCCAGGGTGTGGTCCATAGTAGCCCTGGCCACAATAGATTAATCTTGCCACCCCACTGGTCACCCCAATCATTTGAGGAAAATATACTTTTAAGCAATACAAAAACTAGAAAGCAGGGGAGGTCAGTTTACATATATATATATATATATATATATATATATATATATATATATATATATATATATATATATATAT